ATGCTTGAAAGTGCACAATTAGCCACGCATATTTATTGAAATAACGAAAATGTGTTACACGTGAATACGACGGTTGTAAAACTCTCCCAAAGAATGTTTAATAACACTTAAACTGAATCGTATAGGTTAATAAAGATTACACGAGAATGTAGCCAAAGGAGTTGCCTTTCAGACGCGTACAGCTGGTTTCACGAGAATTTAGCAGAAAACTATGAAATTATTGAAAAACCGGAAAGGTGCTTGACTGTATTCGCTATCGTTTCCGACATCACGTACTAAAATTGTTAATAACTAATTATTGGATATGTCTAGAGCAATAAAATTTATACGAGAAAGTTGCTGGAGGTTCATACTTTATTCTTCAATTTTCAAAGATCATAAAATCAACCTAATTATAGAGTTATTAATGATTTTTCGTCGATCGACTTAATCCGTCTAGAGCAATAAAATTTATACGAGAAAGTTGCTGGAGGTTCATACTTTATTCTTCAATTATCAAAGATCATAAAATCAACCTAATTATAGAGTTATTAATGATTTTTCGTCGATCGACTTAATCTGGGGCCTGATAGGTGGAGCTCGGCGACCCGCCGACCAATAGGAAGCACCCTCTCTCCGTCCTTGTCGCACACTAGTGCTATCCTTGTCTAATATCTCTGTTGGTATTCTGTTATCCTATTAAGAAATCGTAGTTTGCGTCACCTAACGCGAGATGAAGTTAATTTCGCCTTTTCAAATTTTCTGTCCTTGTCTTACACACTACTCTAATACTATCCTTCTCTACCCCTATTTCTCTCCTTGTCTAACTTATTTCTCTAATGCTATTCCCGTCTTCGCCTATTCCTCTCTTCGTCTAACACATTCCTTTAGTGCTATCGGTGTCCAAACCTATTTCTGTCCTTGTTTAACTCGTTTCTCTCCTCGTCTATCTGGATTCCTTTGCTTGGCTTACTCATTTCTGTATTGATGAATAAACACGTACCTCTACGGGTTATCCTTCACGGTAAGTGCGACTACTGATTGCACATCACCATCTTCCAACAAGAATTGCACAAAAATGAATCACAGAAATTGACCAAAGAATTCTGCGTTAATCACTGAAACTTCGCGTACTACATACACGTTGAAATAGGAAAAGGAGAATAATAAACATAATGGAGTTTGAATAACTGAGAATCACAGACGAGGTGCAGGACAGACCTGATGCATTTTTTCGTCCACGTCAGAAGGGCTGAGAGTGCTCTTATCATTTTCGTGTCGCTTCCAACGTTACCGACGAGTACTCGAAAATAGTTGGTGTAATCACGTTCTAGTTTACGATAAATATTATCCAGTGCGAAAAATTTCAATTACGCAGTAATGAGAAATACGAGAAGATAATTTTTTATCGGTGGATATTTGATCGACCGACAGGAAAGGCACTTACCGAACGGGTACACACGATCGAGGTACACGTAGCTTGATTATCAGTAATTAAGAAAGCAGAAGGTTTCTATCTTCTTTCTTTCCGAAGATCATTCGATTTCGGATTGTCGATAGCGATCTCACGCATCGATAAAAAACCGCGCGCGTATTTATTGTCTGAACGCGAATGCTACCTTATCGACTATGCACGTACGTTAAACGACGTTAGGCGTCGGATTAGAACAAAGTTATTCCGCTCGATGCACGTATTATACTTATGTACATACTTACGTAGGTAGGTACTTGAGGAAAATGAAACGGTTGGTCATCCGAGCGATCAGTATTTTCCATAATTTACACGTTTGCATTGTTAAAATATTTTTTAACGAAGACGCTAATTAGAGGTTTCAGTGACGCGAGAGTTTTGCTTACAGAATAATTATCGCTCTCTCGTCTGGGAAGTTTGCTTGCATGACGCACATACCGTAATTTTATAATTATACAGCCAACTTGATCTGATTCGCTCTCTCTCTCGCTCTCTCGCTGGCAAGATCAGTGGTAGTGCGCTTTATATTCTTTTGTGCTGGCGTAAAGCTAATCGAGCGGCGTTGAATGTAACCTTCGATTCCGATAGAACAATTTCCCTTGCGCAACAACTCCGAACACGTGAACAACGTGGTTGGTTTGTCGTTGTAATCGCATTATTGACGTTCCGTAGCACGGCTAGCGTTAATTAGATTTTACTTTGGCGTTACTTATTCGTCCATGTACGTAACGGAGGATGTGCCAAGGCGTAAAGGAACGTAGAAGGTTGGCGTGGGATAATTCATAAGTAAGGAATTTATTATCCAAGAGTTAGAAAAATATATTTTTTACATAGAAAGAGAAGTACTTGGGTAAAGAGGCGACCTCTGCCCCCGGGGCGGCGGTTTGCAAAGATATCACAGTTCGAGCGGGGACGCGTTGCCGTTTCCTCGTTGGCACACTCGTGGTCGGTTGGTTAGGCGTTAGACCGAGCTAGGCTTCTCCGGCGACTCCTTGACGGGTTTGAGAGGGAAGAAGGCTAGGAGAAAGCAGGCTGAACAGAGAGGATGACGCGCGTGTTTGGTAAGTTACCCCACTTACCGAACAAGAGGCAACCCATTCCGAGGAACGCGACTAGGCATTCGAGGTCCAGCAACGCGGAGAAGATGAAATTTCCCAGGACAGCTGCGACGTTCCCAACGGTGACGAGGACGTTCAGGCTGGTGGATCTGGTTGTCGGGGTATAGTCGATTAGAAAAGTGCGAGTCGAAATGGGCATTCTACCGGAATGGGCATTACCTCAACGGAACAGGAATAACGTCGACGTTCATCGCGGTAACGATATTACCCGTTATTCTTGTCGTGACGATGATGGCCGCTGCCAGAGTGAGCATGTACGGAGGTGATTGAGCCCAGTTCATTCCAAAACTACTTACCACCGATACGAGGAAAGCGAGAACTGTAAGGTGGGAGCGAGGGTTATTTAACAGCCGATAGCCGATAGCCGATAGCCGAATCCTTACGCAATATCGATTTCTTCTTGAAGCTCGTGGTGGTTATGAAACCGGCGAGGAAGGAAAAGAAGATGGCCGAGCACGCGATGATGGCTGAGTTTTGATAGATCACCACGTTGATTTTCCACTGGAAAAGGAGGAGTGAGAGGGTAAGGCAAGGGTGGAGATCGGTCGGCGGTAGAGGCGAACCCCTCTCACCGTTAGACAAACGTCCTCGAAGTGTGGGCAATCGAGGTACCGGTCAGCCGGCATGGACATTCTACGGTCGAGCATCTCGGTCATAGTCGGCGCGCGATCTTTGTTCCACTTCTGCCCGTCGAAATTGTTGAGGATGATGAAGAGGTGCGGCACCCACAGTCTCATCGTATTGAATCTGGCGGATCGCGGTCGAACGAGGAGAATAGTAGCAAGCACGTACGGAAGTTTTTGGTAAACTTACCCCAGCATGCTGCCGAACTGAAGGAAGTTGAGGAAGAGGACTGGCCGCAGATACGGGGAGGAAAATAATAGTTTCGCGTTGTAACAGGCGACTCGCAGTTTCTCCGAGTTGGTCTCGAGGAAGGAGCGGCGCGACAACGGCGTCGCGTTCTCCCACGCGAGGAGAGTTGTCACCTGGAAGAAAGAAAGGAAGTTGGCGGAAGGTCGTTGGCGGTTGGCCGATCGTGCCTCCGGTCGGGGGGAATCTCACCGGAAACGTGTCCGCCGGTTTCCCCTTGTTCATCGAGTAGATCCTGCCGAGCAACCGTAAGGCTTCCTCGGGTTTGCCAACCTCCACTAGGTACTTGGGACTGTGGGGCAGCGTGCTGGCAGTTAGGAGACCGAAGACTGGCACGATCGAGCATACCAGCAGGTAGATCCGCCAGGAGTTGTACCTCCGATTGAACACGTTCACGTCCAGAGGAACCGGTAAAATTAGGAAGCCCAGCGCTGCGAATCGAGCCAATAAAGAAGAATTCGGAAGAATTCGAGCCAAGTTGGGCGAGAGTTGTTTACCTGCCGGAATAACGATGGCCGCGTTTATCGCCAGTCCTCCCCATCTGGTAAAGTTCGGTTTGTACTTTGGCGAGTGGAATTCGGAGAGGTAGGCCATCACCATGGAGAACGGGCCGCCCGCGCTGAAACGTAACAATCGGTGGAAATAATCGAGACGAGGTGAGAGAAGGTTGACAAGTTTTTTGGGAAAAACTACTCACAGAACACCGGTGATGAACTTGACGAGGAGGAAGGCGTAGTAAGAGTCGACGGCGGTGGAGAGTAAATTTAGCACGGAGTCCGCCAATAGGCCGAGGACGAACAGGTTTCTCACTCCGACGTACGGCGTGAGATAGTCCCAGAGGAAGCCGGTGAACGCCATGCCTGCGTATAGAGTGGATGGAGGATGAGGATGAAAAGGTGGAGAAAGGGCGGAAGGAATACCGTACCTAGAAAGGGGAACGCGACGAGAACACCCTTGCGAAAGTAAGTGAGCTGGAGGTCGCACTCTGCGGAAGCTAAGATGAAGCCGCTGGTGGTCGTGTCGAAGATCCCGGCCCAGGCGACCGGCAGTGCCGCCAGGAGCAGCAACACGTTGAAACTTCCGTAGCCTGCGAACGAGGAAAGAAGCAGAGGGTAGGGGAAAAGTTTGGAAGGGAGAGAAGATCGATGTCCGCACCTGTCGCAGCTAAAGCTGCCTCGATGTCCCCTGCTCCGCCCGTCTGATCCCTTTTCACTGAAAATCACCGGATACTTGACGCGGGAAAACGAACGCGATTGCTCGCCTCGGTTGCATAACGACGGTACCGAGATTACGTAAGGGCCCGCCGCGTCCAAATCCTCACCGTTTATCGTCGAAACCTTCCCGCTGCTTTCGGCGTTCGTCGCCATGCTTCGGCCGTGTCGTCCAACGGGGGTCGCTCGAGCCGACGAGGTGACGAGGAATCGGCAGTCGGGAGCGGAATGGAGAAAGGCTCCGGCGGAAGGGTTTACCTCCTCGCGGTACGCGATTCTATCCTCCAGACGAGACGACGCGACGTGCTCCCGTTCGGTGGAATCCACGTCACTGTCGACTAGTCAGTCGCCGCGATCCGTTTACTAGCGAGCGTCCCATTCGTGACGGTGTAACTTGCCAATTAAAACGGGTCAAACGACTCAATTGTTATGGTTATGGTTCGTCCTCGTGCTCGGCGAGTTGTTCGTTGAACGTCACGTTAAACCGTTCACCGATATCGAGTTTGTGTCGCGATGCCACGGAGCAACTAGTTCTTGCTAATCAAATAACGAATCTTTAACACTCCTTCGATCGGGCAAATCCCCCTCCGCGATAAGATAAGAAACTTCAGTTCCTCTAATTTCATCGGGTTTATCGAAACGAGACCGAGTACACGTGCCACTGCCGGAACGACGAAAACAGAACTAGCGAACTCTTCCGCGTTGTGCAAGGAAATGTAACATACATACGTAGGAATATCCGAACGATGCGAGCAACTACATATGTATGTATACGTACGTATCTATCGCGACGGTGGCTAGATCGCGGAAGGTTCGAAACGATTACGCCACGCGAACGTTTGCCAAAGATCTGCGGCAGTTTGCGTACCATCTGGCTTGATAAGAACATACGTAGTCTGAGAGCGCGATCTCGAGGAAATGATTCAAGTCACGCGTGTTATTCGCGGCCGCTGACGCGCGTCACGAGACACCGTTTCACGGTCACTCGATACGATCGGCCTACGTTCGCGTTCACCTCGCCAGACTTGGATCTTCTGGAAAAAGGGGAGGGATTAGGAATAGGACAGAAGAGCCAGCGGTTCTATGCAAATAGGAAAGGTTCCGTCGCCTTGCCTCGCCTTCTCGTTTCTTCAAAGCCGGAGATCATTTAGAAAGAATCGCTTGATTTCCGTGCAATCGGTCTGTCGCGTTGCGTAGCGCCTTCCTTCCTTCGCAGACACGTTTCGAGTCGAAGCGTGCTAGACGGATTTCCACCGGTACATACATACTTCCTTCGCATTTTCCTGTTCGAGATGAACCGTGCCACTGGGGCGGGGGGTTCCCGAAGTCTTCCAGAGAGGAGGACACGATAAGAAGGGAGGATAGGAAGAGCTTTTCCCTCGTCGCTTTGTTTTTCGCCGACAGCGTTAATTAAATTACGTCGGAGGGACTCTTCCCTAGACAGAGGGGGAGGGGGAGAGAAAGTTTAAAACTGTCGTCAGTTATACCTGGCGACAAGCCGCCGGGTATATTGCTTTTCCATCACGAGCTCTTCGGGCAGGCTTTTAGCTGAAAAGTATAATTCTTCGAGCAGTCGCACCTACGGGAACTCCGAACCTGTTCGTCGAATCACGACGCGTCTGTCTCTCCCTTTCTCGCGTTCGGTTCCCTAGTTTTCGGTCAGGGGGGTTCTCGGGAAACGGGGGGTGAAGGAGAAACCGAGGGAGGGCAAACTGTCGGCGAACTGTATTCACCGTGGTTGGTTGCAAGGCGCGTGGGCTACGTTCTGCTTTCCAGCTAACTTTCCTAACGATCTCGTGGTTCTGCCTGCCTGTGTTTTCCTTAAATACCACGGAACTCGGAGATAAGCCGGAACCGGTTAAACCGCGCCGCGTCTCCGTTGCTCGGCTGCCAGTAGTCGTTTAATCCTTTCGCGAGATGGCCGAACGAGGCGAGGAAATGCTACTCTCGCTAGGATTCGGGCCTAACCGCCTATTCTCCGCGATATTATCTCCGGACGATTAAATTAGCCGGTATTGAAAGCAAGTTATTTCGAGGTGGAATAGAGGCTGGGTGGTCGGTCGGTCCGTTGCATACAAAGTGGCGAAATTTTCGAGGCGTCGCGACGGGATAGAGGTTGTGCACCCTCCCTACTTACCTACCTCCCCGATACGCCGCAAATGCTATCGGCGTTCGCATTAATTAGATATACTCCCTCGAATGTCCGATAATTGCGCAACGTTCGGTAACTAGATCGTAGCCGTTCGAGAGGGCTTTTGTTCGCGCCACGCTCCCTCGACCATCCCTTTTCCCCACCTTCCGCTAAACATCTTTACCTTTCGCGGAGGAAGAACGAAAGGACGAGCTGTGCGTAAATGTAACATTTATTTCGGCATAAATTATGACGATAGATACATAGATTAGGTATAAATACAAAATGAATTGACTGTAGACAGGACTGTAGTGAAAATACATCGATGCGTTTTGTCGCACCGGTACTCGTACTCGATTCGCGTTCCGCTTACTCTCGGCAAGTCTGCGATCGCGCCGCTTCTTTCGATTCTCTTTCGTTCACCGTCGCTTCCACGAAACTATCGAACGTGATCGAATCGCGCGCTTCGCGGTGCTTATACAAAATAATACAAAGTCTCGGACTTTCTGAGCAACGATTTCTCGCACCGCGAGTTACATCTCTCTTCGACGGAGAGAAACATCCTTTGATTTTGCACAGCAACCCGACCCATCCGCGTCGCTTATTTTTCTTTTTCCTTCACTTTTCTTTTCTCTTCTCTTCTCTTCTCTTCTCTTCTCTTCTCTTTTCTCCTTTGATTTATCACGATGCGTGTTATTATGTTCCTCTGTCATCTTCGTGTGCGTGTACGTGTGCGTGGCCGTGTCTGTCTGGGTGTCAGAGAGCGGACGTCGACGACGCCGCGATGTTCGTTGCTTTCGATATCTAGGAAGAGAGGGGTAGGACAAAGATGAACAGGGTGAGAAGGTTGAGCACCGGACGATAGAACGTAACGCGTTCCTCCGAACGGAGATCGCCAGTCAGTGATCGAGGAGGAAAACGCAAGCTGTCGTATGGAACGCAACGATTTAGCAAAATATCGCGTTGCTTGTCGCTACATGCGTCGTCCTAATCTACTTACCTTATATATACATACACATATACACGCGTGTGTACATATACATGTACGTAAACACACATATATATATATACACCGCATGTATATTGCAGTTTTTACGAACCGTTTCACCATTAATTAAGATCACAGCCATAGCTTTGAATACGAATACGTTTCGTTCCTATGTTTAAGATCGATATAATTATTATGGTTAAGAATTTGCCTGGCAATAATCGTAAAGATAGAGAGGCTTTCCTACCGTGTTACATCTCTCTCTAATAAAGTGGCTACACATCGATTACGAGGAGTCTCGATAGTCGTACGAGATATGGAACGTGGGGGGAGAAAGGAGGGGATCGGTAAAGCGGTACGAGTAGCTGGAAACGAAACGGGCTGAACTACTAGACGAGAAGCGGACTACTACTAGTCGAACGAAGCTACGTTTTCTACGTTTTCTACGAATAATACGTAAGTATAATACGTAAGAGACTATCGGGGAGTTCAAAGAGAAATCCGACGGTTTTCCGTTGCCGCGACGAGCAGTTGTACGCGCTCCGTCCCGCCGAGCTCTTGCCGATCGACCGTGTTTGTCGGCTAGAAAAAATAAAATTTGCCGTTGGGACGCGATCGTTGGGCCGGCAAACAGGCGACTGGCTGAGCTCACCGATTTCCGTCGCGGAACGGAATTCGGTCGGACGATGACGACGAGAACGACGACGGCGATGACGATGACGATAACGGTAACGGTAAAGGTAACGGTAACGGTAACGGTAACGGTAACGGTAACGATAACGATAACGATCACATCGAGTTTTCCTACGACCACTACACGATACGTCTACTTCGATAAATCTCTCTACGTTAGGAGCATACAGAGCTTCCTCCTTTCCGTCCGAGTCATCCTTCGAATCGCGCTTCGAGTCGAACGATCGCCGAACGGAAGCTCGAAAGTGGGAAAGATTAAAAGAGACTGACTAGGGACCCAGTGTGCAGCCGACGGACCTAGGATACGGACCTACGGTCGGTTCTACCTCTTTCGATTTCGACGAAAGTGTGCATCGCTGGATCGAAGCTACGGCTAAGTAGTTAGGAGGGACCGTGATATCGGACGTATACGTTCACTTAAACCGCTATCTACCGATCTAAATCGGCTGGCTAGTCGAAAAGAAGCGAAAACACATCGAGACTGTGTCGACAAGCTCTTTTTTCCGAGCGTGCAAACGTCTTATCTATGTAGACCGGTGGAGACCCGTGCCGTTTCCGTCTCGGCCGAACGATATCTTATCACGAACGCGCGAAACCACGCGAACGGACTTCCCATGGTCGAACAATCCCCCGAGACTTCTCTCCTCTCGATACACCACCATTTGCGCAACATGTTTATTCGTTTCGCGTCCAGAGAGAAAGAGAAAGAGAAAGAGAGAGAGAGAGAGAGAGAGAGAGAGAGAGAGAGAGAGAGACTTCGGAGGGACACGCGAAACTGCACTCGGATCTCCGGAACGGGATCGAACGAATCTACGATCGAATCGCGCGCCTACTTATCGCGCGATTCCTTCTACATCTAACGACTAGAATCTGCTAGACCAAGCGTTACCTTTCTACCTCTAAACTAATCATCTACAACATCCAGCGAGTTTTCTCCAAACTTTATCTATCAGCTTTTTAAACGAACATTTGTACGCTGTCTTCGTAGCGATTCTCTACTACGGCGATTCGCGAACCGACCAGGGACGTACGTACGGGCAAGCGAAACTCTCATCCACACGAGGGAGCGTAAAACGTCTACGAGAAGCGAAAAGCACAACTTTTTCCACTAGCAGAAGAGAAGCGTGGGAGAGAAGGGTCCGAGAGAAGGTTGGTTGAAATGCAGCGCGGGACGTCGCGGGTAAGGGAGAAAGGGGTGAAAACGATTAAGCGGAAAATGGCTAGCTCGTCCCTGGCGAATCGCGAAAAACCATTAAACCCTGTAACGCGTAATAGCACTCGACTAAATGGCACGTGGAATCCTATCGGATTCGATCGGCTTCGTTTCTCCTGGCACGAGAGCTACGTTCGATAAATAGAAAGACGAACGGATGTGGAGAGAATGGATGGACAGATACGTGTACGGAGGGAGAAATATGCGTATATGCCTAGACGATAAATTCGTAGAAAGCGACAAAGCGTAAGGGGGGAAGGAAGCTGCGATTAGCCTTAGTGCTGCGCGTGCTACGATAAAAACGAAACGCTTATATCGATGCGCGCGCGACTCGTTAATCGGCTACGGCACGCAAACTTACACACATATAACTAAGCCGTTCGCATCGGCCGTAATGTTAGTATCGGATACATCGTTGAGCAAAGCCGAAGGTACTTGGAGAAATTGTCGGAATCGCGATTACGTGTCGTGTAAGAGGCGCGTGGCGCGCGCGCGCGGTTTGTCTCTCTACTCGTTAATAAAAATAAGTGTTTGC